TAGCCCTTATTGATTGTATTGTACTGCTTCTGGGTAGATTCGGGATGTTTGGAGACCGATCTGAGAGGCAAAGGCGTGTTGTAGTAGAGTTTTTGCCCGGATTGAGGTATGTAACACTTTCAAATTTGGTTCTGAGAATTCGTAACCCCGAATTATGTGTTTATGTAATTGATATTGAGGTGACGCACATGCCAGGTGACGGGCGTGCGGGCGTGCACCGTGTGAATTGGGACCCAGTCGGTTCCATGGCACTGTAAAGTGACACTATCTTGTTGATATCCATATTTTCACCATGTGATAAAATAACTGAGTTGCCAATCATGCTAGAGCTCATGTTTAGGCTATACGCTGGTACTGTTGGGACCCATAGTGGTCGTTTCTTGCTGTTGACTTACTGATCTCATTGATATTTTGTACTCAGTCATATTCATTCATTTCATATCATATCTCAGTCTCTGTTGTTATTTATTGATACATTATATCATCATGTTTGGGCTAGTTTCGTGACATTTGTGAGCCCGTGAGTGAGACTGGAGAGAATGATGACTGAGTGAGGCCGAGAGCCTGATTATGAGTGACATTTATGGGATCGGGCTGCATGCCGTAGCAGTTATACTGATTTACGATAGCGCTGGGTTGAAGGAGCTCATCCGTAGTATGCACACACCCTAATGAGCGCAGTTGATATTATTGAGGGATGGATCTTCCCTAGACAAGGATCTTGTCCGAAGCGTTATATACCTGGAGATGAATCTTCTCTACGGGCTGGAATGGCCCTACTGGGTACTGGGTGACTGAGATCAGTGATGTATATATTTCGAGATGGATCTTCCCTGGGTCGTGTGGGCCATATACAGTATCAATGGATTGAGCATTTGAGAGTGTGAGCACATGAGGCTGTCAGCATGGTGCATCACGTACAGCATGTGGATTGGCATGTAGAAGTAGCGGAGTTATATTCTTCATATCATTCAGATTTGATCTATTTTACTGTTTTGAGCTATTTATTGAACTGGAAAGCGTGCCTATGTTTCTGCACTGTTATTTCTATATTGAACAGTGCCGATTGAGTTCGTCACTACCTTTCAATCCAAAAGTTGGATTTGTTACGTATTGAGTTGGTTGTACTCATGTTACACCCCGCACCTCGTGTGCAGATGCAGGTACTTCCAGTTGCGGTGGCTGCTGATTGAGGAGTCAGTATCTCGAAGACTATCAAGGTAGATACATGGCGTTCGCAGGTCTTGACTCTCCTTCACTATCTTTATCTGTGTTTCAGATCTTATTCCTTAGACATTGTAGTAGACTGTATTCCAGTATGGATACTCATATACTCAGTGACACCCCAGTTTTGGGATAGATTGTATTATGTTGCGGATTTATTTTTATTTCAAAAAGGTTTTTCTCAAATATTAATTGCTTTCATCTTTATTTTCAAAGCTTTTACTGTGTTGAGATATTGAGTAGTGGCTTGCCTGGTTCAGGCGCCAACACTACAATTGGTTTTGGGGCGGGACAATATCTTTACTTATACTTATCATTTTACCTCTTACACTTCCAAAAACTTCATAAGCTTATCGTTTTCCCTACACTCGGTCTCCTCCTGCTTAGAAAACTTTCATATTCTCTAACTTTTCTAAACATTTTACTACTATTTTAATACAATGAGTTCTTATACTGCATCTTTTAGAAACTCTGATCTTTTATTCGGTGGAGGCCCGAAGAGAAACAAAGACAAAGAAGTTGACATTGATTTAGAGCCTCCCACTGTGAACACCATCATACCCAAACACCTGAGTACCATCAATGACTTCCAAGAGAAGGTTCCATCTGCGTCTCCACGTACTTGGGTTGTTAGTAGGTACCCCTCCTCTATTCTCCCTTCTAGTATTCATACTATGAAGGAGGACTGCAACTGCCCAAACCTTAACATCCTAGCTCCGAATATGATAGAGCGGGTTTCCTTCACCAAGGAAGGTTTTACGTATGTCTATACATACCCCTTTACTTTGGGTCCATTTTCCTTAGGGACGAGTGAAAGACTCGACCCCGTAATTTTGGAATTCTGCCAACGATATCGGGTCTGATTTGCACATGTAGGCCCGTCTATATGGCGAACGATGACTTACCTATGCCAGTTGTGCACGGAGATTGGGAAAACCCTACCTCCCCAAAATTTTTCATGGGGAAGTAATAAACTTCAGCAAACATGGCCATCACGCTCTTCTCACCAGCGTGGGCGAAGATAACGATCTTGGGTGGATGGGGAGATTTGTCATCATCGCCACTAGGGACATCATCCCAACCACAACTCTGCCTTTTCTTTAGTCGTGGAACCGTTTTCGTAAGTTTAGATTCATTCCTTTCTTAATGGAAAGCTTGTTTTCTATTATTGTTGACCTTTTCGATTCTTTTGTTTCAGCTACCCGGTTGGAACCACCATGCGTTCAAGGCCTGAATCAATGGTTCACGATTCTGAAAATTACAACACCAGAATCCCGCTGATGGAAGGAGATGGCTCCTAAATATGGGTGGAAGGCCAAGAACCACAGTAAACCGAGTACTCCTTCCTTTTATCTTTGTATGAACATAGACAACTTTTGCTAACATTATTTTTTGCTTGGTTTAGGACTCCCGCAGGTCTCTGTCACTTGCCCTGAGGTCGACATTTTATCCGATCCCGAGGAAGCCATGAGGGTGCTACAAAGTGCCTTTGTCTGAAGCAGTGCACGCGAACCTGCTTCCGGTGAAGGTGCTTCCTCTCGGAGTCCCCAGCCAGAGAACAAGCAGCCAAAAAGGCGATGTTCTTCCTCGACTGGGGCTCCAAATAAGAAAATAAAGACAACAACGACTCAGATGGCCACAGTGGTTGTTATGGAAGATGGAGAAGCCAGTGATGAAGTGGCTCCCCTCCAAAGGAGAAAAATAACTTCATCAGCTCAACCGGACGCTTAGCCGAGAGAGCTTGAAAACCTGACCGCAGATGAGGTCCAAGCACTTTGGGGTGTGATGGATATAGTAGAGGATGATGATTCTTGCTTTCCAACCCCCGTTGCTGTTTCTGGTCTAAGCTCCTCTAACCCCGGGCCTCTTCTGCCTTCGAACACTGAGCAACCAATTAACGCTGATCTTGCCACAACTGCTTCTTAACCTTCAATGCCAACAACTTCACGCACCTCAAAAACTAACCTAAATTTGATTACTACCTCTTGGATTTTTCTCATTAAACGTACTTTCCATTGCTTCTTCTCAAGGTCGCTTAGATTTTTCACTAGATGATTCACATTCATTTTTATACGGATAAATATTCTCAAAGAATTCAGCATTATCGAATTCGATAACCGTATTAATATGAATATCGCGATTTTCTAATTTATGAACCAACAAGCGATATGCCTTACGATTTGTTGCATATCTTATGAAAACGCAATGAACAATTTTCGGCCCAATCTTTATCCTTTTGGGTTCAGGAACTTGCACTTTAGCCAAAAAAACTCCACACTTTAAAATATTTTAAGTTGGGTTTCCTACCTTTTCATTTTTCTTATGGAATAGGATGCGTTTTGCTATGGAGAACTCAATTGAGTATTCGGTTAGCTGTAAGGAGATCCATATTCACCACCCTTATTATTTTGTTGAGTCAACCACATGAACTGTTGTTTGTGTCATGAAACAGCCAAAATTAATAAACGGTAAAGTTTTTAATCTTCAAACCAAGTAAATATCTGACACAACTAGATTTAACAAACGGTGAAGTTTTTTTATCTTCAAACCGAGTATTAAAACGGGGTAAACAAATCACTAAGATTTTAAACTCCAAAAATAAGTAGAAAGTCATGAAGACTTTAATTTCAATGAACGAGTAAAAATTCTCATAGATTTTATTTCTGAAGCAGGAGTAGAAAATCACAAAAGATTTTAATCTCCATGGTAGACAATCACAAATATTTAATTTTCTTTTCAAATGGCTTTTCAACTAAACCATCGTAACACTTAAGCAGTTTGATTTTTTTACTCTAATCAAACAATCTACCCTTACATTTGTAAAAACAAAATATCATAAATCACAAAAGGGTAGAAAATTAAACATAATATTGTCACTTTCTTCTTAACTTGTTGCCTTGAATTTCACATCTTCTTTGCTGAAATTTCACAAAGTAAAATTCTACTTCTCTAGATTTCCTTTCGACCTCATGATCTATTTGGGTTTGCTTCTTCAATTCCATATCATATGGATACACTGGAATTCATGTGAATGACCCCTGGTACCATTTAATTAATAGTTGTCAATATATATGATTCCATTCTCAAAGAAAATTGGTGTTTCTGTTCCCTTCGTCATGTGGTACAAAACGCAAGCCATCATTATAGCTTTCACATTCTATAAAAAAATTCAAACACTAACTTGAACAAATTGTTGAAGTGTCGACTCAATTTTATTTGAAGAAGAAAGCATCGGTTCGAAGATAATAGATTAAAGAAGGAACTACTTATTTCCCTTGTTGCCCTCACAATTAGTGACTGTGTTAATAAAGTTCTCATCCTCCCATTGTTGTGATATTTCCCAAAAATAGACAAATGTCCATGTGGCAACTTGCATGGGAAGTTCAAAAGAAGTGTCATACACTTGGCATGCCCTAAGCCTTTCAATTAGCTTATAAATAGGCCTTCAAAATAGCCATCATGTGTCAGCACATTTTTTACTTTGCCTCTTTCGTTCCTTTTCTTCCTCCTTAAAACATTTATAGTCTACTTTGTTTTGTTTCCTCTTTTAAAATAGCTGGGTTTGTAATTTACTATTTTGCTGATTCCTGTATCCTCCCTAATAGAGGTAGGCTTGTTTAATCCTGGAGAGACATTTCACACTGCTGAAATAGTTTCTTAGGACAGTGCCCAATACGACCCAAGCCAATTCGTGTATTTCCGCTCACAAATAATATTATTGCAGTATTATTATTATCGTTACTTTTGGGTGTCATTTCCCTACATTCTAAGAAACTATGGCAAATAACACTGATGCTGAAAATACTACTGGCACCGCCAATATTGGTGTTACATCCGCTGCTCCAGCCCCAGTTGAACTGCCATATGCCAGGCCATTTCCAGATGTGTCAAATATTGAAATTTTCGCCAATGAAAATTTCAAACGTTGGCAAGAACGTATTTTCTCACTGCTTGATGTCCATGGTGTTGCACATGCACTGCTGCATCCACAACCTAGTGCAGACGCTGATAATAAAATAATAGAATCATGGCAATATGCCAACAAGGTATGCCGTCATACAATATTGCAAACTATTTATAACGAACTGTTTGACGTGTATTGCAGTTATAAAGAAGCTAAAGCTATATGGGAAGCTTTAATTAAAAAATTCACTGCTGAAGATGCTACAAAACAAAAATTTTTAGTAGAAAAATTTTATCAGTGGCAGATGAGAGATGATAAAGAGATGAACATACAAATCAACGAATTTCAAAAATTGTTAGAAGACTTGAAGGCCGAGGGGATGTCTTTACCAGAGAAATTTGCTGCTGGAGTGCTAATTGAGAAGCTGCCTGACTCATGGAGTGACTACAAAAACAACTTAAAGCACAAACAGAAAAATTTCACCATTGAGGAAATTGTGACCCACATCCTAATTGAAGATTCCAACAGAAAAGAATCTGTCAAAGCTATGACAACTCTTAAAGCAAACTTAGTGCAAAGAAGCAACAACAACCGCAAAAGGTACGAGAATAAGTCTCAAGGTTGCAAACCTAAAAATCCTAATCTTAAATGGAAAAAAGGGCTCTTGTTTTGTTTGTGGAAAACCAGGTCATCATGCCTCACTGTGCAAGTACAGAGCAAGAAATGACGAAGAAAAAACTAATAATCCTAAGGCTAACTTAGCTGAAGGAGGTGATATTATTGCAGCTGTCATCTCTCAAGTAAACACTGTAGCACATGCAAAAGAATGGGTGATAGACTCTGGGGCTACTCGGCACATTTGTGCAAATCGAGAAGCATTTTCCTCTTATACTCCTGTAGAGGATGATAGAGAATAAGTCTACCTTGGAGAATCAAGTACTACCAAAGTCTTGGGTAAGGGTAAAGTTCTCCTGAAACTCACTTCGGGAAAAACTTTAGCCCTTGTTGATGTACTGCATGTTCCTACTATGAGGGCAAACTTGATCTCTGCATCCTTGTTGGGAAGAGCCGGAGTGAAAGTGTCATTTGAATCTGATAAGATCATAATGAACAAAAATAATGTGTTTGTGGGAAAGGGCTATTGTAACCAAGGACTCTTTGTACTTAATATTTCTGATGTTATCAATGGAAATGTATCTACTTCTGCTTATATGGTTGAGTCTATTTCTCTATGCATGCTAGACTAGGACATGTTAATGTCACATATATAAAGAAAATGCAGTCACTAGGATTAATATCTTGTTTAGACTCAAATAATATTAACAAGTGTGAAATATGTGCTGAAGCTAAAAGTACTAGAAAGACCTGTTTTTCCGTAAATAGAGAAACTCAATTGTTATCTTTAATTCACACTGATTTAGGCGACTTGAAGCAGACTATGACTAGAGATGGTAAAAGATATTATGTAACTTTTATTGATGATATTTCTAGATATACTAAGTTGTATTTGCTTAGAAATAAAGATGATGCATATAATACTTTTATTTCTTATAAAACTGAGGTTGAAAATTAACTTAGTAGAAAATTCAAGAGAATTAAATCAGATAGAGGTGGAGAATATTTATCTTTAAATGATTTTTGTGAAAAGAATGGAATAATTCATGAAATAATTCCGCCTTATTCACCTGAGTCAAATGGAGTAGCTGAAAGGAAGAATAGAACATTGAAAGAGATGATGAACTACCTGTTAGTTAGTTCTAATGCTCCTGATAACATGTGGAGTGAAGCTATTTTATCTGCATGTCACTTACAAAATAGAATACCACATAGAAGAACTGGCAAACCTCCGTATGAATTGTGGAGGGGCTATAAACCTAACTTGAAATATTTACAAGTGTGGGGGTGCCTTGCTAAAGTTCTTTTGCCTGGACCTAAAAAGAGAAAAATAGGTTCTAAAATTTTTGATTGCATGCTTATTGGATATGCTGAACATAATACTGCATATAGATTTCTTGTTTTAAAAAGTGATGTGCTTGATTGCAATACTATAATTGAGACAAAGAATGCAGAATTCTTTGAACATATTTTTCCACTATCTGATAAAATTTCTCATACACCTGTTGAAACAAATAGTGAAATTACCTCTAATGAGGAATTGAGAAGGAATAAAAGGCCTAGGAAAGAATATTTTTTATATGGAAATTTTCAAACATTTCTTGTCGATAATGAACCATCAAATTATTTTGAAACTATATCTTCTTCAGATGCTAAATATGGAAAGAGGCAATAAAAGTTGAAATTGATTCTATTAAGAAAAATAATAAATGAATTTTAACTGATTTACCTCCTGGTGCAAAGCCTATTGGTAGTAAATGGATTTTCAAAAAGAAATTTAATCCCGATGGATCTTTAGATAAATATAAAGCTCGGTTAATAGCAAAAGGTTTTTCTCAAAAACAAAATCTCGATTATTTTGATACATTTGCACCACTGACTAGAATTTCTTCTATTCGAATTTTAATTGCCTTATTCCACCAAATGGATGTGAAAACTGCTTTTCTAAATGGTGATTTAGAAGAAGAGATTTATATGGTTCAACCTGAAGGCCGTGTCATTCCTGCACAAGAAAATAAAGTTTGTAAATTAATTAAAAATCTCTTTATGGCCTTAAACAAGCTCCTAAGCAGTGGTATGAGAAATTTGAACAAGCCTTACTGAGAGACGGTTTTTCTTCAGTTGAGGTGGATAAATGTGTTTATGCTAAAGTGGTAGACAATGATTATGTGATAATATGTCTATATGTTGATGACATGCTTATATTTGGTACAAGTTTAAATATTGTGCAAAGTACTAAACTATTTTTGTCTTCTAACTTTGATATGAAAGATCTGGGTGAAGTAAATATGATATTGGGAGTTAAAGTGATAAGGAGTGAAGATGGCATAATGTTGTCACAAGAACATTATGTTGAGAGACTTCTTAAGAAGTTTGAATATTTTAATGTCACATCTGTGAGCACTCCTTTTGATGCTAACTCTCAGTTGAAAAAGAATAATGGTGACCCAGTTGCTCAGTCTAAATATGCTCAGATTATTGGGAGTCTGATGCATTTAATGAATTTTACAAGGCCTGATATAGCCTATGCGGTGTGTAGACTGAGTAGATATACTCATAATCCCAACAGAGAGCATTAGTCAGCATTAGATAGACTAATGAAATATTTGAGAGGAACCATGAATTATGGTATCTTATATAGTGGATTTCCTTCTATTTTAGAAGGGTACAATGATGCAAACCGGATCTCTGATTCAGATGAGACAAAATTCACTAGTGGTTATGTATTCACCTTTGGTGGTGGTGCAATATCGTGAAAATCAGCTAAACAGACGATCATTGCTAGATCGACTATGGAATCAGAGTTTGTAGCTCTGGAGTTAGCTGGTTCACAGGCTGAGTGGCTAAGAAACTCCTTAGCTAATATCCCTTTAATAAAGGACGTATTGCCTCATGTGTCTATACATTGTGATTGCCAGGCGGGAATAGCTATAACAAAGAATAAATCATATAATTGTAAAAGTAGACACATGAAATTGAGACATGATGTCATAAAGCAGCTGCTGAAAGATGAAATAATTTTCATTGATTATGTGAAGTCAGAAGTTAATTTGGCCGATCCTCTGACTAAACCTGTGGGAAGAAAATTAATTTTTCAAACCTCTAAAGAGATAGGGTTAAGGCCGACGTGTTATCAATAGAGATGGTAACCCAACCTATGTGATTGGAGATCCCATGAAGTAGGTTCATATGGGTAATAACAAGTCGATATTGGCACTGAAGTACTAAAAGAGAGTGCTTGACTGCTACTAATTGAGAGGCTGAGTTATAACTCTTAATGAAATTCATAGTCCTTATGGATGGTGTATTTAAAAGCAGTATACACTTGATGAATTCACCTATATGAGAGTGGAGTGGGCCGCTCCTATGAGATTTTGGCCTAGTCTCTAGAGCTCTCGTGAATAACCAAGCACGTGCATGGCCTATTGGGCGCAAAACCGCGTTGAACAGCAAAATTACCGGGGGTCGAAATGTGATTGATAAAATCTCTGACTTACAATAAGAATTATTGGTTCATAGAAATATTATATTTCACCAGTAATTCTATAAGTTAAACTTTATTGATCTAAGTTTGGTTCATAGTCCAAAAGACACCAAACCTATTGCATTTGGACCATACAAATCCAGCTAATCTTACTCCTCTTTGTATGAATTTTTTTGAAAATATGTGGGGGAACTGTTGTGATATTTCCCAAAAATGGACAAATGTCCATCCATGTGGCAACTTGCATGGGAAGTTCAATACAAGTGTCATACACTTGGCATGCCCTAAGCCTCTCAATTAGCCTATAAATAGGCCTTCAAAATAGCTATCATGTATCAGCACATTTTTTTACTTTGCCTCTTTCGTTCCTTTTCTTCCTCCTTAAAACATTTATAGTCTACTTTGTTTTGTTCCCTCTTTTAAAATAGCTGGATTTGTAATTTACTATTTTGTTGATTTCTGTATCCTCCCTAATAGAGGTAGGCTTGTTTAATCCTGGAGAGATATTTCACATTGTTAAAATAGTTTCTTAGGACAATGCCCAGCACGACTCAAGCCAATTCATGTATTTCCGCTCACAAATAATATTATTGCAGTATTATTATTATCGTTACTTTTCGGTGTCATTTCTCTACACCCATTAATGTCAAACGTTGCACAATATAGTTTGGTGACAGTTTGAACTCCTTTGGCAGTATTACCAAAAGTCACAATTTTTGTATCTCTGTGAACATCACCCATGCGGCTCTGTAAAATATGGACATAATTGCCGTTATTTTCATATAGCAAAGTATTCATGTTAAATGCGTAAAGGCACTTTTGTTTGCATCCACATTCATATTGTTCCTCTATGAATTTTCTCATTCTAGTTTAGTCTCCATAAAATAGATGTTAAGATGAACATATAAAATAAATTTAAACTCCTTTAGATTGTTGATAAACTGTGTTCAAAATCAGAAAATCAACGAAGGAAAATACGTTAGTTAATAAACAAAATTTAAAATAATTCTGAGCCCACAAGTTTCTTGTATTTCCTTCAGAAATTTAATCCCCTCACTGTTGCCCAAGGTTATGGATTACTTCCTCCCATGATAGAACGGATAAACTATTTTGTAATAGTGGCAATCGAAATTATAGAACTTCAGTGAACTCAACAAACGAAGCTAATCACACCTGACACTTTATTTATTTGGAAAAACAATGCAACAATGTAGAAATTAAAGAGAGTGAAGTTTTCCAGATTTTTTCTGTATATAAAAATGAGGCGAAGCCTCTAAATTTATAGACAATCAAAGGGTGAGATTAAGAGGTGCAATCCAAGAGGCGACTCTTTTATTTCCCATTTACACCCCTTGGAAAAACCCAACAGGCATATCTATTGAATTAACCTCATACTATAAAACTTTTGTCCATCATTCTCCATTTTGTGATATTGGTAGTGCGCCATCTATTGCGCGTTTGTTGTAACAGGAAACTTTAAAGGAAAGTTTTAAGCATAATTATGGAAACGTGGGAAAAGAAATTTGAAGCATTTTCACAGTATGAGTTGACCATTAATTAATTGTTTACATAAATTAATACAGTTGAATTTATACGTGATTTCTAGACAAGTGAATTAATTTGATCCTGGAATAATAAAAGAATTGAAAAATATGCAATACTTAGCCTTGAGATGAAGATCAAATAGCAGAAACAGTAGTTCCGGGAGCAAGGCTTCCGGGCATAACAACAACGAAATCAAAAAGTAAGAAGGTAAAGTTGAATAAAGGCCAAATACATATAGAGCCCATTAAACTTGGCCCAATTTTTCATTTTGGC